TTCCCGCACACGGCCATTGCCAACAGGCTGCTGACGGCGGTCGTCTGACGGCTTCGCGACGGCGACGGATGCGTCGAAGATATAGGGGGACACTCTCTCAACGAATAGACTCTGGTCTTGAAGCGAAACCACTCCTGCGATCCCTGTAGACTCTGTCCGCTCAATAGAATAGACATTTTGAATGCCATGGCAAAGCAATGGACGATTCCGTTAGTTGACGCAGGAGTGCATATCAGTGTGTTCGAGGGCTTGAGCGTGGTCTTGGGCTTCGGCTTGCTGTGTCGGATACAAAATTTTACAGATTTAAGAATTGGATATTGACTCGCATGAACTTGCTTATTTTGTTGCCACACGTCCGCTCATGTTTCAAGCTTCATCACTTTCGTTTTTCTCTTGCCTTCAAGCGTATTACACACCAAGTGTGCGGTCCCCTTCCGGACCCAGATCATGCCGTCTCCTCCGAGACCTGGACCTTGGAAACCGTTCCAGGAACTGAACCGAACCTCTCGTCCTCGCCCTGCCCCACTTCAGGGTACCTCGTGGTGAAGTTGACGTCTGGGGCGGAACGCCTGTCGCCTAGAGGCGAAGCCTCGTGTGTGTAGTGTTCCGAGCCATTCTCTGCCACATCATCACCTGCCGATGTCGAGCTCAGCGCATTGGATCCCATCTCTGGCAGCTTTCTCACATCCTCGGTCGTGTGTGACACCGTCTCGCGGACCTGACCTGTCAGATCCGCAGCCGTCTGACTGGTTGCCTGCGTAACACCTCCCACGCGCTGCTGCACGCCGGCAGCTGACTCACGTACCCTGGCAGACCCCTCTGCCAACTTGGCCTTGCCGCCGCTCGCGAGCGCGTTTGCATTATCGGCGGCAGCAGTTCCGAGTTTCTCGGCTTGAACCTTGGCATCGCGAGCCACCTCGCGCCCTCGTGCGGACGTAACGAGCGGAGCGACGAACAGGGAGGTCAGGCCCAAGATGATGAAGCCAAAAGGCGACAGAATGCCGCTCAGGAAGTAGACGCTGGTGATGACAAGGAAGGCCTGAAGTACGTCAGCTTGGAAATTGCTTCTTCTCTTCGCGCAGAAGACGTACGGCAAACGTTCGGTCGAGTTCCTGCCCTAGAGCGACCTTCTGGAGCTTGACAACAGTATACTGGACGAAATCATGAATATCCTTGAGAGTCGCGTTGAGCGTCGACTCGGGTATGGTGCGATACTCGGTGGGTCGCAACCTCGAGAGAAGGGTCTGGGACGTGAACTGCCTGTTTGCAAACTCGGTGACGGACACCACTGTTGGACGAGGGGGTCAGAAGCTAGTCGAAGAGTCGGGAAGTGCTAAAGAGCTGGGATGCGTACCTCCAAGACTAATCGCGCCATACTTTAGAGCAAGCTGCGTCCATGGATAATAGTGTGTGACGATCAGAGCAGTAAGGGCAGTAAAGTATGCGCCCAGAGTCCTCAGGGGGTCCTCCCACTGAAGATTGTCAGTGTTATCACGAGACTGGAAAGGGTTGTAAGAAGTCTTTGTCTTACGTTGATGTACTTATAGAGACTGTCCTGCTGGTCTTCATGTTCAACAGCGTCAGCAAAATCTCGAGAGACATACAAGGACATTCAGACGTGATCCAGGCGACGTCTACGAGACACTTACTTATGATCTCCCTCAGTGGACCCGAGGCCTCGCGACTCTCGTTCATTTCTCTCAGCGAATGGGTCGACTCCTGATCCTCATTGCTGCCGACACGACGCTTGTGTTCATTGAGGATTCTCGCGCGGCTGCGCTGGGCATTGGATGCGTGCTGATCGGCAATGTCGCCGGGAATGACTGTGTCCATATTGGTGGTAGGTGCAACTCGTGATGGCTTCAGCTCGTTTCGATGGAGTGAGATGACAAAAGGTGAGAGTGCAGGAAAAGAGTAGAAAAGCCAGTCGCTCACGCTATCTATTTCAACGGATGGACTTAAAACACAAAAGTTGGAGCAAGAGCGGCTGAGCGATTGGGGTTTCCGTCAGTGACGTGCCCGCATCGTCATATGGTTCACACAACATCTCGATCAAATCAAGGGAAGGCGCTGCTCATGAGCAAATGCAGCTATCCACATACTTGACCGGTCGCGTCATGGCAAGTGCCAACAAACAAGCACCTGCTTGCCATGGGCCCTGGCCCCCTTTTAGGTAAGGCATAAATCAGGTAGCACGAAACGTGATGTAAGACGTGGAGGAGAAGCTCCGCAAGCGTCACCGCGCAACAATCTTTCACCTCAGTCAATCTGGCAGGCTCTGAGAACCCCATCTCTGTTCCATCAAATTCACCGTCACATGTCGGACTGTTCCTTGGTTTTGAGGTCAGATCATCAAACATGCATCCTCGTGTTATCATAGAGCCCTGACATCAAGCCGCCAAGGCCTTTGAGCAACCGACAAGTCTGATTCACACAAAACTGCTCTGCCAAGCTAGGTCTCTGGCTGTACACCCGACCGCTGCTCCAGCCACCCCTTCAGCTTGACCCTCAATAGATAGCTCGGTGTACAGCTCCACGCATGGCAGTAGCTGTTGTTATGACAGTCGCCATATGGACTGCTACGACTATCCTCCGGATCGAAACACTCCCAGAAGGTGTCGGCGCCTGCCCGTATCATACCACCCCAGTACTCGCGAATTAGCTCAAGACATTCCTCTTCGCCACCCACCACGCTCAGCGCCTCGGCGACGTGGTGGTACAGGTACGGCGTCATCGGCTTGACTGCTGTCGCGTCTGCCATGGCTTTTAAAATCGCAGCCTTGCACGTCGCTGGGTCCATGACCCCAGCAAGTGCCATCCAAGCCTGCGATGCCCAGGATACCTGCGCCTGCGGCCCGCTGACGAACACTCCCCTATCTTTGTCGTAAAACCCGCCCTCGGCAGCGGCCACGAGACGAGCCACTGTATTTTCGTATGGCGCCGCCTCGTCCAGTCGACCCCGCGAGACGGTTGATCCTTTCAGCGCGAAGATGACGAGACCATGCATGCCAGCATCGCGGTCGAGCTCCTTGGCCAGTCGAGGAACTTCCACCCGCTCGAAGCACCGCACGAGAAGATACCCTCTTCCGTGATATGTGCCAGTGCCGCCTTTTGTGCTGCCGAGAACCGTCTGCCACAGCTCGCGTCCCGTGTCGAGATCTCCCGTTGCCTCGCAATAATCATCAACAATTGACCCAAAGAGCACGTCGTAATCGATAATGTAGTCTGTAGCAGCCGAAAGCGTTGGTTTCTCGAACACACACGCTGGCAGCGACCCATCCTCACGGGACACTGCCGCGAACATGTAAAGGCACCGCTTGACGAGGTCGCCGTCCCCAAACGTGCAGTAGTTTGTGAGCGCCTGCAACCGAAGATCACCGCTCCAAAGCCGTCTGTCTCGCCGGGGCCCGTCTTCAAAGACTGTCTGCATGCAGCTGCGCAGCGTGTTCTGGCTCACCGCGTCGATGCGTCTCAGGAGCTTAGCATCGTCATCGTTGGTCCCGGGGACGAGGCACGGCCCCACGGGATGGCCCGACGGTACAGCGCTTTCTGATCGTGTCACGATCCTGCTGAACTTGATCTTGTACTTGGGCGAGGTGTCGAATATTTGCACACGCAGGTAACGGAAGGCATGGCGCCGCGGTATCGCCACATCTGTCGGCACCCAATCGACATTGATGACCTCGTCGGGGAGCCAGCTGGTGCTGATCCATGACCGGCATGGGTGAAGCTCCTCTGTAACGTCATATGGTATCTCGCCAAATGTGAGTCTCAGCCGTGCCGGGGCGTCAATATTAAGCCCTTCGGCGCCGAGGTGAAACGAGACGTAACCGACATTGTGGGAGCCAAAGTCGAGTATGAATTCTTCACCCTTACCCCAGGCCCTGTTGGCGAGCTCTTCAATCGAAAGTCGGTGAACTGGTCGTACCTTGAAATAGGCTGCCTCATCTGGTCCGAAGGTGATGACCTCTTCAGGCTTGACGTCCCATGTGTGAAGGGCTGGCCGCAGGTTTTCGGCCTTTTGCGCAAATACAGGGTTGAAGATTTTGGCATACACCTTGTCGACCTTTTGGTCCTCGGGTACAGGCGGGTCGGCCATTTAAAGCCCTTACTGTGGTAGTGCCTGTTGCTGTGTATAAACGACGAGTAGTTGTGGACGAGTAGTTGTGGTCGCACGCTGCGGACGCAGAGTCAGGACGAATCCTTTGAAGTTCAGGGTGAAGATGCTCTGGTGGGATCAAATGCATGAGCCCAACCGCAAACCTGGTAACCATCGGCCACCCAGAAAGACTATGGAGACATCGGTCCAAATCCTACCGAGCCCATCGTACCAAACAGTAAATGGCGGATCCAGAAACGTCACGTTTTTCTGGGTAACATGCTACTTTGGCGTGGATCATGTGGGGTCAGACTCGGAACGAGGCCCGGCTTGTCGGGGTAGCTGAGTCGCATCGGTTGCCCGGCGCTGGCTGGCAGGTCCAAGGCCTTTCGCCTGAAAAAATGCAGTGTGTCGGTAGACACCCATTTTCGGTCGTATCGGTCGCATTGCTTGGCATCGTGACCGATCCCGGGCCCTTCTCTGGGAGTCGTCCGGTATTTGATAGCCCGACAGCCGGGTTCTTGAGAACCCGTATGTCAGCCCCCCGTCTCCCCGCACCCTGGTCGCACGGATCGATATATTAACACCCGGAAGCCACGTGGAAAGGTAGGTCGAAGATCTCGAACCCAAGATGTGTGAATTCCATGTACCAGACTGCACACCCCAGGCTGATGTATGTGACTTCAGATCACACCTCCTGGTGGGTGTCGAGTCTGCCCACCATGTTGAAGAGTGGATCAACACATTGTACCGTGCCGGTGTATGAAGTCATGAGAGCTGCCAAGTACGGCATATCCGGGCAGGTCGCGAAGTCTCTTGGATCTACCCCGGAAAACCCGAAGCTGACACGATAAAATGCAGCATTGGTCTTCATCAAGTATAGACATGAGACTGAGGCGATGGCATGTTGGCACTCTGTGAAGAGGATTCAGAATTCACCTTCAAATGAGGTAGAAATGAGAAAGGCTAAGTATGCAATGAAGTGAGATGGGTCGGTCGATACAGTCGAATATTGAGCGAGTTGTAGTTGCATGCCAAGTTGTTCATCGCACGTAAGCAACGCTACCGAATATTTTCGGTATCAATGCGCGATACACGGCACTTGCGCAAGAATAATTCGTCGCAAGATGCTCTAAGATCAGCAGGACTAAGTTTTAAGCAAAAGAAAGTTCAACGGTTCGCAAGTCTTTACATTGTGAAGGTAGAGTATCTAACCAACGTGCCTAGTACGACAGAAGGGGGTGCCACGCTCTTTCAATTCTACGGTTAAGCCGTGGCCGGGAACCCTTTGACAATCATATAGGGTATCCCAACACTCAATCAAATGGCCGGGCTTAAGATGCATTGCTTAAGTGAGGCGGAAAGAAAACACTGAAACTGGCGGAAGACTTGAAACTACGCTGGTTTTTATGAACCTAACTACTTTCAAGAACCTACCTACTTTCAAATGAATATCCTGCCAATGACATCGCGGCAATGTTGGACATCAATAACGACGGTCCGTATATACATGAGGATGCATGCCTGGGCCCAAAGCTAGCAAGCTTGGCATGCCGGTGTCTGAAGAGCATTGGCAGCGGCATTGAGATACTGGGCCAGCTTGCTTGTACCACCGCACTTGCACTTGACGCTCCGCACAAACGTCTGCGTGTTCAGCTTTGCGCCGTCCCAGTTGGTGTGGGTGTTGTCGTTGGGGAAATACGTCTTGGCCTTTGTCGGGCCGAAAGACTGGAAGAGCGCGACGGAGTACTTTGTGTGATCGAGGTATTCGACACCCGCGGCCTTGGCCACCTGCTGAGCATACGTCGCAAACGGCCAGTCGGTCCGCAGCGTGTTGCCACTCCAGTAGTTTCTGTTGACCATGCCGGAGATGATGGGCGTGGCGCCCTTGGCCTTGACATCTGCAATCATCTTGCGCAGGTACCAACCAAAAGTGTGGACAGTCTCTTTGGCGCCGGTGCTCGTGGTGACGACTTTGGTTTCTTCGCCTATGCCTGGCAGCGTGGCACGGTCAGCGGCTGTCGTTCCGACGACAGCGTTGGGTCGCCGTCGTCATTGTGGCCCATTTCTATGAGCACATAGTCGCCTTGGGCTGTTGAGGCCAACAGAGACGACCACAAGCCTTCGTTGATGAAACTCCGAGTCGAGCGACCGTTTCTAGCCAAGTTGCGGACGTCCAGTGTCGTGTAAGTGTTCAGATAATAGCCCCATCTGGAGAGTGGGTTAGCACTTGGTATTGTTAAGAGAGATTGTTTCATTGGGCTGATTGTTATTCACCCTGCAAAGCATTTCCTGTGGCATAGTTGGCAGTCGTGCTATCGGAAGATATCAATATCTTCGTGGCCGCCCTTGGCTCCACAGAAAGCGGTGCAGCCAGAGCGAAGCTGGGTGCAAGAGCCGCTGTGGCGAGAAGTACGGAGAGAAGCATGATAAGCGGCACAATGTTTCGAATTAGACGAGACTGGACGAGAGCGATGGCTGGCTTTCTAGCAATATACAAGACTCATCCAGCCAGTATCACCCTGAGTTTGTGAAGCCATCGTGCATATAAATACGGTTACCGGATCTGTTATTGTCGATAGACATTCTCCATAAAGGGGCCATACGAGGAACATGCGGGGTTGACGAAATAGTTCATCATTGGTGGGCATAAATGTCCCGAAGACATCTGGGGAGTGAAGCAAAGTAATTAGGGATTCCCCGCAAAACGGCAACCGCGGCACGATCTCGTTGAGTTGAAGAGTTCCATGTTTAGGTGATGTGCAACGAATCATACATAAAGAATGGTAAATCTGCTGCATTTCTGCCATCCGTACGTCCGGCCTCAACGCGGTCGATCTTGTCAAGGAGCTCTTCGCATTGCCGCCACCGCGCAATTGCCTGCAAAACAGCTTACCGAGGAGATCGTCGACTGAACCCTGCAAGTGGTCCCCGAACGAGGTGTTTCCCGAAAGCAGACACGGAACGAGAGGTTGGAAAGTTGGGAACACATCGAGCACGGTGCATTTGGACTCTCACGTCCAACTCCGAAGCTGCGTTTCGGACATTTTATGAGGGAACAATACTAAGCCGATCCATTCGCCCGAAGATTAATTGCTTAACGTTTCTCGTTCAACTCGGAGTTTTTCTTCGATGTCTCACATTCAGGGCCATAGAGCTTTGTCACTGCCATACCTGCAAGACGGCTAGCGAAAGCAAGACCTTGTGGAGGTTCAATCCGTCAACAAAAGCTAAGAGGATGTCGAGTGCATTGAAAACATTATTGGCATCTCATTCGCTTTCTTCTGGAGACAATCACCTTCTGGGGGAGCGGATCTGTCTTGACTCGTCCGCGGTGTCTCAGGAGATGCGTCCACCTGTGGACAATGGCCAGGTGGCCAAGGGATTGAAAGTAATCGACGCTGCTGAAAGGAATATACAGGCCGAAGAAAGTGTCATCCACACTTCAAGCAGGCGAATTGTATGCGGTAGACCAAAGCTGGCCATGAGAGAACCCGTTCACCACGGGCGTGTGCCCGAATGCTGCACAGCAAGCCGGGCTACCCCATCATTTAGCGTCACCCTCAAACCACCCCGCAGTTATTTCTCTGAAATTACCGGCATGGAATGAAGCATGTTCACAGGGGTAGGGTAGCACTTCGGGAGGTGATCATGCCTTTAACCCTTTTGGGACTGGAGAGATGTCACTTGGTTCCTGGTTTTTGCACCAACGAAAGCTTGGTAAAGCCATTGATGGTCGCGAAAGACGTGGTCAGCTGGGATGGCCTCAGAGGCATGGTCAATAGACTGAGTCCATGAACTGAGATATAAGATGGGCAAGCCTGATTCTCCTGGCTCCTGCTTCTGGGCAACCGGCCTGAGAACTTGAACGCTGGCCTACCTTGTTTGACAGTCAATTCCAGCCCGATGAAGACGTTTGCCGCTCTCTGCACTCTGCTTGCTTCAGCACAAGCTGCCACGAGGACCTCGGCCCCATCGGGGTGCATTACCGTCAGCAAATCTCCGGCCAGTGGACAGTTCGGGACGATCCAGGCTGCTGTGAACTCCCTGTCAACGTCGTCCTCGGGCACACAGTGCATCTTCATCAACCAGGGCTCCTACGCCGAGCAAGTCCTCGTCCCGAGCCGCAGCGCTCAACTGACCATCTATGGCTACAGCACGGACACCAGCGGCTACGCCGGAAACAAAGTCACCATTACGGCGAACAAGAGCCAGAAGGACGGGCTCAACAACGACGAGACTGGCACCCTGCGCGTGAAAGCCAACAACTTCAAGCTGTACAACGTCAACGTCGCCAACACGTACGGCAAGGGAAGCCAGGCCATCGCCCTGAGCGCCTACGCCGACAGCGGCTACTACGGGTGCGCCTTCACCGGCTTCCAGGACACGCTCCTCAGCAACACCGGGTACCAGCTGTACTCGCGCTCCCTGATCCAGGGCGCCACGGACTTCATCTTTGGCCGCCAGGCTTCTGCGTGGTTCGAAAAGTGCGACCTCCGCGTTCTCAGTGCCTCGAAGGGCTGGATCACTGGTAAGACCACACCATCGGGATGACATGCCCCGGCCAAACTATCCACGCACATGAGGCTGATGACAAGTTTGCTAGCCAACGGACGTGATTCCTCGTCCAACCCATCATACTACGTGTTCAACAACTGCAACATCGCTGCTGCCTCCGGCAACAGTGTGAGCGCTGGGGCGTACTATCTCGGCCGTCCGTGGGGCGCCTACTCCCGTGTCGCGTTCCAGAAGACGACAATGTCGTCCGTCATCAACTCGGCGGGGTGGTCGGTCTGGAACACAGGCGATGAGAGGACCAGCAATGTCGCGTACGGCGAGTACCAGAACACGGGCGCCGGCGCCTCGGGCACCCGAGCGAGCTTTTCCAAGGCCCTTTCGTCGGCCGTCTCGATCTCAACCATCTTGACGAGCAGCTATGCTAGCAAGGGTTACTATGACGCTTCGTACATGTGAAACGTTACGATGGAGGTCTCTTTTGCCTAGGTGCTACTCAGTAGGCCGCCTTTGCCCTGGCTTAGCCGCTTTTGATTAGGTTTCACGACTGTACATAGGAATCGATAACTTACGATGAGGTTTTTTAAGTTCATGAAGCTGAATCGATGTTGCTTGGCGAGTGATGACTAGGCGGCAGATGACATTCCATGCAGTGAGATTGAGAACTGGCATTCAATTTTTGTCTCCTTCTGCAGCGTAGCGAATGTTATGCCGTGCTGTGTTTGTGGCCATAGACCACGAGCAGCCGACGACGGCGATATTGAAGGCGTCCATTGACAGTGAGAGCTGAACTGTCTGTCTGTCCAGAAGCCGCTCTGCAAGCTGTCAGCCACGTAGGATCGAAGCAATGGACATATAATTTTAGGTAATGCCACAGTGGAATCTCTTTTCGTGAGAGTTGTGGTACTTTTGCCACCTTCTCCTCTGGGCCACAAATATTCCTTCTGTTGGTGCGGGGTGGTGCGTCGAGCGATGTCATTGAATTAGGCAGACGTAGAAGACCACAACATATATGAGCCGCTTGACAGGCCGGGGCTTCTTACTGCCAAGGCGTCATCCTCAAAAATCGCGACGCAAAGAATCATCAAAGGCCTGCAGTGAAAGCTTCAAACGCTCACCATGTCTACCGCTTACACAGGCCCCTCCGGGGCAGAAATGCTGGCCAACCACACGCTCGCTCACGAGATCATCGCCCGCAACAATGACCCAGAGCCCGTCCTCGATGTCGAGGAGCTCAATCTCCTCGAACATTACGTCAAAGACCCAAGTCGGGCAAAGGAGATTCTCGACTCCAAAGGGTACGCCGATGAAGCGCAGAGGTCTGGCAGCCTGGTGACGCATGTCATCTCCCTCCACGGCACCAACACTCCTGGTCTGCATGATGGGGAAATCAGGATCCTCAGGGAATGGTTCGAAAACGGCCGTGCAGGCAAGGCTTGAATTCTACTCCAACGCAATTCTTGTGCGCCAGTGGCAGTAACACCTTGGGCGGAGTGCCTCTATGTATCGTAGTCATGATAGTCCATCGTTCGCCACACTGGCACGGGGAACGACCTCGCGGTTTTGGCCCGTTACCATGTCAAACACATACCCCACGACGTGCGTCTCCTTGGCTCATAGGGCCAACTTTTGATTTCTGCCGCGTCCTGACAAAGGCTCTCGTCGATGCTGTTTGTTCCCGCGTCAACATTGTCCTGTCCTATTCAATATGGGGAAAACAGCAAGAATTCCACCTACTCGGTCAAGGTGCCAAATCGCATATTTTTGATCTCGTGCGCGTGGCCAGGGGCTTCTCACTGATGCAGTTCGGCCCGTGCTCTCGCTTGACGCTGACGGTGTCTCCGAGGAGAGGAGGGCACTGACGGTGCTCGATGTACTCCCTGCCCGTGGTTGTCAGCCTGCGTTGCGCCAGCGATCGTCACCGGGCATTCCGCACTCATGTCGAGCAATGACTGCGCTCTTTGTCGGCCATGATGCGCAAATGGGAGATGAAACGATGGACGAGTGAGCACGAGGTTGTGAATAGCTATTGTAGTGTACATGTCATGGAGGACCAACACCACCAGTAACATACATAGACGACATGTTCATGGCTGTAATGCACGACACTGGTCATCATCAGTAAGTGACCCCGCGCCGCTGATCGACATCTCTCATCATTCCGGTCAAGATCTTCTTGTCATTCTCCCTCTTGACGTGGCCCTAGTTCTGCAAAAGCGATGAGCCGGAGAGCTAGGATGTCATTGCGAGGATAGGCTCAAGTTCGCTGGCTCACGGCATCCTCAAGTGAAGACCGAAACCATCCGGTTCCACGGCCAGAGAGTTCGTCCTGCTGGACAGTCGTTGAGAGTGTCACGTCTCAGAGGAAAACCCCACAACGACTGGAGGGGGACTCGACAATGTGCGACGGCAGAGTGAGTGATCCAGACAATGGAGGGAGGTGGAGGGTGGGTGTGTAGTTGATGGGCAGTCCTGCTCCACCAGGTCAGTAAGTTTGTCGACAAGTCGGCAGATACTATCTGGCCTCTGCTTTGGACTGGTTCAAGATGGCAGAACATTCAGAAATGCCACGTTGTGCCTATCGGGTTGTGTTTGTGTTCATGTTCATGTCATTCAGCAGCAAGGCTCGACGACGCAGTGGAGCCACAGGCGACTGCAGGCCAAGCAAGTGCTTGCGTGCCTGCCCCTGCCACCCACGCACGGATCCCCCCCCCTCCACGACCAACTGACAGACACCATCGCATTGACAGATCGCGTGCAACAAAGTACCAGAGCTGCAACAATGCCTCTTTGCTGAGCGCATCCACGATTATCCCACGACTCCACCACGAAACTCTCCGACGGCGCAGGCGTAGGTCCAGGTCCAGGTCCCGGTCCGACAGAGACCTCCCCACCGCCAAAGATGTACCACCTGGCAAAGAGTCTCTATCTGCTCGCGACGAGCAAAGAAGGTGGGCAATCCCTTGGCCACATGGCTCTCGTCCATGGCTCGCGCCCATGGCCCGCGGCGCAAAGCTCCTGCGGCTACGGCACCGACCCAATGCTGACATGACCAGAGTACTCCGTCATCCTCCTCGGCCTCGACAATGCCGGCAAGACGACCTTCCACGAGCAGGTCAAGTCCCTCTTCCTCGCGTCGCACCCGAACCCCAAGCTCAACACGGTGCCGACCGTCGGCCAGAACGTGTCGACCATCGACCTGCCGGACATGTACCTCAAGATCTGGGACGTCGGCGGCCAGATGTCGCTGCGCAAGCTCTGGCAGAGCTACTACGCCAGCGCCCACGCCATCGTCTTCATCCTCGACAGCACCGACCTCGGCGACGGCCACCTCGTCGAGGACGAGCGCGGCGGCTTCCACGCCAAGCCCGGCCGCGAGGACGCTGGCGGCGGCGGCGGCGAGGACGAGGACGGGCGCCTCGCCGAGTGCAAGGCCGTGCTCGAGGACCGTGCTGCGCCACTCGGACACGGAGGGCGTGCCGGTGCTCGTGCTCGCCAACAAGCAGGACCGCGAGGACTGCGTCGAGGTCGTGCGTATCAAGGAGGGGCTCGTCAAGCGCGTCTTCGAGGGCGAGCAGGCCGGCAGCATCCGCGACTCGCGCGTCCTGCCCGTGAGCGCGCTGACGGGGACGGGCGTCCGCGAGGCCGTCGAGTGGGTGCGGTCGAGGGTCAAGTGGAACAAGGAGTCGCGGCCGCCTGTGATGAGGTAGCGGGCGTGGGTGTGTGCGACGGAGAGGTGCACGACGGAGAGAGCACGACGGAGAAGAGCACGACGGAGAAGAGCACGACGGAGAAGAGCACGACGGAGAGAGCACGATGGAGAAGAGCATCACGAATGATGACTTTCTATTCTTCTTTCCCTTTTTTTTACTTTCTTTCCCAGGCGTTGGGCGCTTGGAGCGAGCATTTACAGAGTGTGGGCAACGTATGGAGCGTCCCGGCGCGTGCAGACCATAGAATTACCTGCCACGAACAAAAGTTTCACAGACGTGTAGACAGGATAATCCAGATCTGGGGTATCATTAATTTTTTTTTTGCCCTTGAAGAATTCACTTTTTTCTTTTCTTTTTTTTTTTTTATTCGTGCTCACAGGCCTCACCCCGCCACACGGTCATTCTCCGCCGACAGCTCAGCCATCAGGCCGCCCTTGTCTCTCCTCTTGGCGTCGGCGGCCAGCGTCCTGTCGACCAGGTCCGACAGCTCCTTGACCTTGCGGGCCGCGACGGGCCGCGCACTGGAGCAGCGTCGTGGCCTCGACGGCGTCGCCGCCGAGCTTGGACACCTGGCACACCTCACCGAGCTTGTTGAGGCTGATGGTGCACGAGGCGACGCGCAGCTGCTCCTCGCGCCAGTCGGGGTCGAGCAGCGTCACGTCGCCACCGTCATGGTCGGGGCTGCTGTCGTCCTTGGCGGCGAAGTGGGCAAAGGTGACGCAAAAGGGCGAGTGCAGCCAGCCGAGGGGCACGGGCTCGCGCTCGGCGGGCGTGAAGACGGTGAGGTCCTCGCCCTCGACCTGGGCGTCGGGCTTGCGAAAGTGGCGCAGGGCGGCGACGGCGGCGAGGCAGGCGGCGTCGACAATGTTGCCGTCGTGCGAGACGACGTGGACGTCGGCGCGGACGCTCCACACCTTTGGCGCCGGCGACGAGGCAGAGCGACTCCATGTCGAGGGCGCCGGAGCGGCGGATCGTCTTCTCGAGCAGCCGCGACAGCAGCATCTCCGTGTCGGTGGGCTTGCCCGGCTCCAGGTGCGGCGACGCCATGGGCGAGAGCTCGGTGGCGAGCTGGAAGATGCCGTCAAAGGGGCGGTCGGCGTGGGGGACCGTGACCTCGGCCGAGATGCGGACGATGACTCTGGGATAACTGGTCAGTCACGGACATCAAGCAGAGGAAAGGAGGGGGCGATGCAATGCACGCCGTGGTACCTACCTCGTCTTGCCGAGGCTCACGTCGACGACGCCGTACTCATCGCCAAAGGAAATGTCGATGGTGCGATACTGGTCGAAGGGACGGCCGTCTAACCTGACGCCTTCATGCAGGGCCTTGAGGATGAACTCCTTTTCGTTGACCGAGGGTTCGGCTTCTCGCGGCATCTTGGCGGCGATGGTGGGAGGACAGGGTGCCGAGGTGGGAGGTTGCTCTCACTGGGAGGTGGTGAGCCTTGCGATGAAGCTTTGCGTCTGCGTGATGTTCACCATTGAGCTTGAGTCGGAAAGAGCTTGACAAAATTCTGCCAGGCGGCAACGGGCCGGCTCGCGGTACTTTGGGTTGTTCCTAACTTGGCAGTGTGGATAGGTACCTTTCTGCCGCCAATCGGCGTTGCATCTTGAATCTTGACTCTGCCTCCTTCCGCCATCATTTCGACACTTCCACCCGCTCGACACTTCCACCATCTCGAGAACGACCTCCACTACCACCGCCTCCATCCAGAAACATGACCACAGCCCACAGGCCGACCTTTGACCCCGCCCGCGGCAAGGAGGCCCTCCGCGGCCCGGCCTACCACCAGCGGCTCCTGCCCGCCCACACCCAGCTCAAGTTCCGCCAGCGAGGCCAGGGCGGCGCCGCCGACGAAGACGACGACGCGCCGCGTGATCTCGCCGCCGAGCTCCTCGCTGCCGAGGCCGCGCACGCCGCCAAGAAGAACGGCACCCCCCTGCCTCCCCCCTCCGACGCGCCCCCTGCGACAGGCGGCGTCAAAGCGTCCCTTCGACGGGCCGGGCGGTGGCGGCGGCGAAGGGGCCGAGGCCGACGAGGAAGACTTCGCCGCCAAGCGGAGGAGGATACTAGAGGAGACGCGGGATATCGATGCCGACTCGGAGGACGACGACGAAGCGGACGACGACGACGACGACGATGACAGTGACGACGACAGCGATGACGAAGAGGCCGAGCTGCAGCGTGAGATGGAGAAGATCCGCAAGGAGAGGGCTGAGAAGAGGGAGCGCGAGGAGCGCGAGAGGGCGGCCGAGGAGCAGGCGGCACGGGAGAAGGACATAGCGCTGGGCAACCCGCTGCTGAACAAGCCCGATTTCAACATGAAGAGGCGCTGGGACGACGACGTCGTGTTCAAGAACCAGGCGCGCGGGACGGAGGACAAGGGGAAGAAGGAGTTTATCAACGTGAGTATCGGACCTTTTTTTCTTTTCTTTTCTTTTTTTCTCTTTTCTCTTTTCTACAAACACACGGTTGGTTCTTCCTCTGCTGACGCGCTCTCAGGATCTGTTGCGGTCCGACTTCCACAAGAGGTTTATGAACAAGTATGTCAGGTAGACGCGCATCATGGATACTCCCCTTTCTCGCACCGGCGACGAACACCACTCTACAGAATCTGCTTGACCTCGCCCCGGATGCGCGTGACACCTGCCTTCTTGTCGATAAAGTTGTGCTCGTCAGGCGCAATCGTCTCGCGATAATACGCATCCCCAAAGGCTGCCGCAAAGACCTCCATGCTCGGCACCTCGAACACAGCGCAGCCGTCGTACTCGGCCAGGGGGCTGGGGCCGGCGTTTTCCGGACCGATGGGCGTGACGCCCTCATTGAGAGCTGGCGTGGCATGGACCTGGGGGTGGGGGCCGTCAGCGAGGAGGGGTCAGAGGACAGTGAGCGTGACCCTGGAGGGCGAACGATCGCTCTCACCTGCGTGTACGAGATGAAGCCGTGCTTCTTCATCCAGGGGCGGACCAGCGGGCCGTGGACCTTTTCCCAGTGGTGGTAGAACTGCTCGGGCGTTGTGCCGGCCTTGCGCCTGATGAAGGAGATGCTGATGACCGTCTGGCTGGTGTTGTGGTCCGACATGATGATGTTCTTGTGTTACGATAGGTGTTAGGTTAGGATCCGGCCAAGGCTGTATTTCATCAATCCAGAGTCTCCAAACAACCCGTTGGGTGTCACGAATCTTGCTCTCTTTTAGCGTTCTTCATGTTAAGATCCTTGGTGTACATAGCAGCACGGAAAACAACACCCGAACACGCAGCCCGCACCCCCTCATCACAGCTACACCAGTAGTCTGCACGACCCGGGAAAACCAAGCATGCGCACACTCACTCCTGCTTCTTCCTCTTCCTCTCCAGCCCCTCCGCCACAGCCTCGGCCAGGTCCTCGACCGTCGTCCCCCGCCGCCGCTTGCCGATGCGCTCGGCGCCGAGCACCGTCTCGTCGGCGACGACGCGATACACGTCGGCGGCGCCGCGGAACAGGGCCTCGCCCGCAAAGCCGCCGTCGACGCGATGCGTCTCGCTGATCTCCTCCATCTCGGCCACCCACCGGTACGCCTTGGGCGGCACGGCGACGACGGCGCGCTCCGCCTGCTCGGCCAGCAGCGGCAGCCGCGCCCGCAGCTCGGCCCGCAGCAGCGGCAGCACGCCCAGCGCGTGCGCCGTCGTGAACGACTCGACCGCCAGCGCCGTCAGCCCCTTGCTCAGCGACGCGAAGCACATCTTGAGCCCCGACGCCGCGCCGACGGCCGCGCTCATTGTGTGCGGCGCC